TAGGGTTTAGGGTTTAGGGTTTAGGGTTTAGGGTTTAGGGTTTAGGGTTTAGGGTTTAGGGTTTAGGGTTTAGGGTTTAGGGTTTAGGTTCTCCGACTTAGAACCCTACTGACGAGCGGCTTGGGGACGCTAAGCCCTAAACCCTAAACCCTAAACCCTAAACCCTAAACCCTAAACCCTAAACCCTAAACCCTAAACCCTAAACCCTAAACCCTAAACCCTAAACCCTAAACCCTAAACCCTAAACCCTAATACCCTATACCCTAAACCCTAAACCCTAATACCCTAAACCCTAAACCCTAAACCCTAATACCTAATACCCTAAACCCTAAACCCTAAACCCTAAACCCTAAACCCTAAACCCTAAACCCTAAACCCTAAACCCTAAACCCTAAACCCTAAACCCTAACCCCTAAACCCTAAACCCTAAAACCTAAACCCTAAGCCCTAAACCCTAAACCCTAAACCCTCAACCCTCAAACCCTCAAACCCTCAGACCCTGAACCCCAGACCCTGAAGCAGGCCGCGTGGAGTTCAACGACTTCATCAACAAGCTGGCTCAGAAGGTGCTCCCGAAGCAGTCCCTCTTCGCAGTAGCCTCAGCGTCTCCAAGTTGGGTTTCTTTTGGGTCCCTAAACCCTAAACCCTAAACCCTAAACCCTAAACCCTCAATCCCGAAACCCTAAACCCTAAACCCTGAACCCTAGACCCGTTCAGACATTTCGGGTTGAGTGCTTAGGGTTTAGGGCTTAGGTGATCGGCTTCCCGTATGAAGCCCAAGACACAAACGAACCTGAAACCTAACCCCTAGTCCGCCGGTGAAACCCTAAACCCTAAACCCAAAGGAACTGAACTGCAACATCAACCCCCTACTCCCCATAGGAAACACCGTACCCTCAACAAGCACAAGCCCCGAACCCTAAACCAACCCCACACAAACCCCAGATCCTGGCCCAAGAACTCGAAAACCCTCAGCCCTGAATCCGAAGCAAACCCCAAACCCACAAAGCTTGGAAGGCCCTTTAAGCCCTAAGCCCTAAGCCCCAAACCCTAAACCCTAAACCCTAAACCCTAAACCCAAAACCCTACAAAACGCCTATAATCCTATAAACCCCAGAAACCGTATGAGCCCCCAGACCCTAATCCCTCTAAGCCCATAGAAACCCTGTGAACCTGCAGACTCCCACCCCCAAAGCCCTAGAAACCCCACAAGCCCTCTAAGACCCCGAACCCCTAAACCCTAAACCCTAAACCCCAAACCCCAAACCCCAAACCCTAAACCCTAAACCCTAAACCCTAAACCCCAAACCCCAAACCCCAAACCCCTAAGCCCTATATGAACCCTACGCAGATCGCCTGAGGACTCGTACTTCGATCTCGAGCAGGGCCGATGGACGTCCTGGGAAGACCTCATGGAGGCAGCCACACAGGTTTTTTCAGGGGTTTTTGAGGGGTTTTAAGGGGTTTTTCAGGGGTTTTTAAGGGGCGTTAAGGGGTTTTAAGGGCTTTTAGGTGGTTTTAAGGGGTTTTAAGGGGTGTTATGGGGTTTTAAAGGGGTTTTAAGGGGTTTTCAGGGGTTTTCAGGGGTTTTAAGGGTTTTGAGGTTTATAAAGGTGAGGGCCGGCTGTTAGGGGTTTAGGGGTTTAGGGTTTGAACGTTTAGGGGTGTTAGGGATTTAGGGGTTTAGGGGTGTTAGGGGTTTATGGGCTTACGGGTTTAGGGGTTCAGGGGCTTAGGGTTTGGGGTTTATGTTTCAGGGTCATGGGGTTTAGGGTTTAGGCTTACGGGTTTAGGGTTGGTTGTAGGGTGTAGGGTTCTAGGCTTACGTAGGCTTGGCAGGGCCACACTGATTAAGCCACGTGCCACAGAGCGAGGTTGTGCTACAGTGTTTGGCAGGGTTCACCTAAACCCTAAACCCTAAATCACTAATGACCCTAAACCGTAAAACCCAAACACTAGAGCTGAGGGTTCCGCTTGAGGGCTCCAGGTTTAGAGCTAGACCCGTCTATCACGGGATCGACTCCCCTCCTGCCCCACCTCAAGAAACCCACAGCCGGAAATGTCCTTTAGGTCTAGGCGGTTTTGGGTCCAGAGTTTGTAGAGTTTAAGGCTCATAAATATGGCTTGTAACTATTGTTTGGCTTATATCGGTGTAAATCGGAAACATATAGCCCTAATTAACCCTAAACCCTAAACCCCAAACCCTAAACCCCAAACCCTAAACCCCAAACCCCAAACCCTAAACCCTAAACCCAGGCTTATGTACCTGGCGTTTTGGCCGTCGTGTGAAGCATCTGGCATGAATACAGCAGCACTTGGGTGTGCCACCAAAGTGCCGGTGCACAGCCCTCCCCCTTGCCTACAGGGTTTAGGGTTTAGGGTTTAGGGTTTGGGGTTTAGGGTTTAGGGTTTAGGGTTTGGGGTTTAGGGTTTAGGGTTTAGGGTTTAGGGTCCCGGCTGGGCTTGTTCAGCGACCCACACGTGCCGACTTACTTGGGGAATCGCCTGTGGCACCTCGTGGGAGCCTGCACCGCGGAACGGTGAAGTCTTAATTTAAACTAGGGTTTAGGGTTCAGGGTTTAGGGTTTAGGTTTAGGGTTTAGGGTTTAGGGTTTAGGGTTTAGGGTTTAGGGTTTAGGGTTTAGGGTTTAGGGTTAGGGAGTTTGCGCAGCGAACCCAAGAGGTTTCGTGCCGTAGTGTTTCTTGGGTTTAGGGTTTTGGGTCTACAGGGTTTATAGGGTTCAAGGTTTCGGGTGTAGAGGTTTACATGCTTCAGGTTCAGTTCAGTGTTAGGGCTTAAGCCTCTTAAACCCCCGCAAGAGAGACCTATCTCCGAAACAAGCAAGAACAAAAAACTCAAACGAAGACCCAAGCCCGACGCCCTAAATTTCCTAGAACAGAAGCCCTAAGTCCTAAGCCCTGAATCATTAATAACTCATTAGTTTTGGGTTAACCTTCTTTTTTTTTTTTCGTGTGTTATTCTGGTGTGTTTATGCCCTGAATGCCTCCACTCCCCACCAAACCCTGAAGCCCTCTGAACCCCCCAAAAAACTACGCCTTCAAACCTGAACATCCGTAGCAGGGTTTAGGGTTTAGGGTTTAGGGTTTAGGGTTTAGGGTTTAGGGTTTAGGGGCCCTTCATTGAAGCAGGGTTTATATTGCTGTTCTTGGTGAGTGTATAAAAAGGTTCCTTCTTCATATTGGTGAGTGTATATACGGGGTGTCCTTGTGGGGGGGCTACGGCTTCCTAAACCCTAAACCCTAAACCCTAAACCCTAAACCCTAAACCCTAAACCCTAAACACTAAACCCTAAACCCTAAACCCTAAACCCTAGACCCTAGACCCTAGAAACCCTGCATCCCTGGGGGGAGGCCTTCGCTCCTCCTCCGGGCATCGACTTCAACAAGATCTTCGTGCCCACCATCGACACCACGCGCTACTCCTACCTGGCGCCTCGGCTCAGGGTTCAGGGTTGAGGGTTTAGGGTTTAGGCCTCAGGCCTTGGGCCTTAGGCTTTAGGCCTTAGGCTTTAGGCTTGAGGCTTTAGGCTTTTTTGGCTTTAGGGTTTAGGGTTTAGGAGGGTTCAGGGTTATACCTGAAGGCTTCTCAGCCAACCGGGCCTTGGGAAGACATTGCCAGCTGTGTTTGTGGGAATTTGCGAAAGATTACCGTCCCAAAGCACAGGCCGAACCGTGGAGGCATTTCCTTTATGGGTCCTGGCCCGGCGCGATTCTACAGCCTTCCCACTGAGTGGGAAGATGCCATGAAGACCTGCTCAACTATGCCACAAGCCAAGGACGTAGTGTCCGAATTCGGCACTATTGCACGCGAGCTCCCGCTGCATGATCATTGTCACTTCAAGAGGATCGCGAGAGCAGGTCACGATTGGCATCGTACCTCGCCTCGTGTGTGTCGCTCACCGCTGTTCTCCACTTGGTGCGTTCTATCCCCGACGAGTTGTAGGATTTAGGGTTTTCGGGATTTAGGATTTGTCGGACTTATGATGTAGGATTTGGGGATATAGGATTTGGGGTTTAGGGTTCTAGGATTTAGTGTTTTGGTCGGGACTATGGATTTTAGGGCCTAGGGTTATAGGATTTAGGGTTTAGGGCTTGGGTTGGGTTTATGGCGAGCTTCTTGCAGCCTCTTGCGGGATCTAGGTGCCGCGTGGGGGGCTACTTGTAGGTCAGGGGTTATAAGCCTAAGTCCTCTAAGTAGGTTATAAGTAAGTAGACGATAACCCGAAACCCCTACAGCTTACTCTCTGAACCCTAAGCCCTAAACCGTAAACCTATAGTTTGGGTTTTTAAGTACCCATGAACCCCCCAAATGCCTGCAAAGACCCAGTAGGTGGTTTGATCTGCTTCTCAGTGCTTCGGGCCGCACCATAAGCCCTACCCCCCAAGCCCCAAACCCGAAACCATACGGAGATACAGAGCCACTCTCAAGCCCTAAACCCTAAACCCCTGAACGCTGAGCCTTAACATAGACCCCTCAGCTTCCAACTAAACCCTTCGCAAGCCCTAGTTAAAACCCCATGAAACCATCAAAGCACGAAGCCCTAAACTTAAGACTCTCAAGCCCTGAGCCTAAAGTCAGCCTTGGATTCGGAGTAGGCCCTCATTCCCTTTTCACAGGGTTTGGGTTCCCTTATAAGCCCCTTCAACCCAGCAAGGGCACCCTTGGTATTCCTTGCCTACTCTTGGGTCTAGCATCCCCAAAACCCCAAAACCCCTAAGCCCTAAACCCTAAACCCTAAACCCTAAACCCTAAACCCTCAACCCTGAAGGCCAGCGCCCTCAACCCTGCAGGTCAAGCAGTTCCTGAGCATGAACCAGCCAGTCCTCTTCATCGGCGAGAGCGGAACTGCCAAGTCAGTGCCTCCTCTGGCAATTCTGGGGTTTAGGGTTTAGGGTTTAGGGTTTAGGGTTTAGGGTTTAGGGTTTAGGGTTTAGGGTTTAGGGTTTAGGGTTTAGGGTTTAGGGTCAAAATGCAGGATTTAGGGTTGAGAGGGGCATAGGGTTCACATAGAAAGTAGATCAGGGCTCATGGACAATTTAGGGGTTCGGGCGGGGTTCACGGGTTTCGTGAAGAAGTTGGGGTGTGGAGCTTTTGATATCCGAAACGCTAAACAATAAATCCTTCTCGAGATCCCTTGAACTTGGGATCTTCAAGGGTTCAGGGTTTGGGTTTAGGGTTTAGGGTTGCGGGTTTAGGGTTTAGGGTTTAGGGGTTCGTGTTCGGATGGTCCTGAAGCCGAAGCCCTGAAGACGTGCCGCCCCGTCCCACGCGAAAAAACCATGTGTTTGAAGCTTAGCCCCATGCAAAGTAAGCAGCTGCAACTGAGTTTCCTCAAAAACAAGCTTTGGGGTTTAGGGCTTAGGGTTGCATACGAGTACAAGAACACCCTTGTGGCACCGAAACATACGTTTCCCCAACCCAAGGGGCACTAAACTCTCAAGCCCCAAAGCCCAAATCCCCCAACCCGAAGCCCTCAACTTGGAAAGCCCTTTCTGCATTCTTGTCGTCGTAGCTTTTGTTTACCCCCCCCCCCCCCCCCAAATCGGGGGGGGGGGGGGGTGAAACAAAGGTTCTCGGCGACTTAGGTCTGGCGTTTTGTGGCGGGGTGGGGGGTGGGGGAGGAAAAGGGCGGGTTTTAGAACTCTAAACCCCAAGCCCTAAACCCTAAACCCTAAACCCCAAACCCCAAACCCCAAACCCCAAACCCTAAACCCTAAACCCTAAACCCCTAACCCTAAACCCTACCCATGCAAGGTCACCATGCAAAACACACTGGAGAGCTACAGCTCGGATGCGTCGGTGATCTTGAACATCAACTACTCGTCCCGAACTAGCCGGGTGCTCGGCTGGTTTGGGGCTGGGGGTTTAGGGTTTAGGGTTTAGGGTTTAGGGTTTAGGGCTAGGGTTTAGGGTTCGCTGGTGGGGTTGCTACCGTCTCCTTGGGACACTTTGTTCAGTTCTCATGTACTAGTGCAATACACAAGGAATCCTGAAGCTATGTTTGGAAACTTCTTATCCGCATGGCTTTATTCATAATGGGAAATGGACATTCACGGGTTTAGGGCTTAGGGTTTGACGTGCCCAAGGCCCCTTTCGGTTAGGATCTGTTTGCCTATAAACCCTAAACCCTAAAAACCCGAGGAACACTATAAACCCGATGAACCCTAAAATCCCCATAAACCCTATACACCCCGTAAACCCTACAAACCCTAAATACAATATTATAATCCTATAAACCCTCTAAATCCTCTAAACCCTTCAATACTATAATCCCATAAACCCTCCAAAAACCCTATAAACCCTATACACCCTACAGATTGTATCAGACTCGATCAGTCCGATAAACCCTGTAAAGCTTATGAATCCTGCAAGGCCTGCACGCCCCACAAAGGCTATATCCCTATAATCCTATAACCAAGGGGTTTAGGGTTTAGGGTTTAGGGTTTAGGGGTAGCCCTATAAACTCTATGAACCCTACTGCACCGTTCCGGGTTGGGGAGCCTAGGCCGTGGGAACTCTAAGTCAATCGAGCCCTTCACCTTCAACCTCTGCGCACCGTAAAATCGAAAGTCGCAGCACAAACTTAAGCCCTAGACCCTAACCCTAAACCCTAAACCCTAAACCCTTAACCCTTAAACCCTAGGCCCTAAACCCCCAAACTTAAGCCCTACTTGGAGGTTCATGGTACTTACTAAACAATTATAACTGGGCTTAAAACTCTACTGAGAATTGGGAGAACCCCAATAAGGCCCTTTAGGGGTATTATAAGTAGGGTTATAAGTGCAGTTATAGGTGGTTTGTAAGTACCATGAATCTTCAAGTAGACCCTTGGCCCTAAACCCCAAACCTCCTCGAAACCCCAAACTCTGAACCCCTAAGCCCCTAAGCCAAACCCCTAAACCCCACACAGCCTCAACTTCTCAACCCTCCACCCTAAACCCTGAACCCTAAACCCTAAAACCCTAAACCCTAAACCCCAAAACCCTAAAACCCTAAAACCCTAAAACCCTACAACCCTAAAACCCTAAAACCCTAAACCCTAAAACTGCAAACCTGCCTGAGGCAGCTTGGACTTCCAGAGGACCATGGAGGACCCCGAGAGCTGCATTCAAGGTTTAGGGTTTAGGGTTTAGGGTTTAGGGTTTAGGGTTTAGGGTTTAGGGTTTAGAATTTAGGGTTTAGGGTTCAGGGTTTATGTAGGGTTTGGGGCTAGGGTTTCAGTGCTTACAGGGTTTAGGGTTTGCAGTTCAGGGTTCAGGGCTTGGGGCTTAATAGGGTTTTAGGGTTTCGGGCTTAGTAGGGTAGAGTTTAGGGTTTTGGGTTTAGGTTTTAACCCTGGTCTTAAGTTTCGGAAGCAGCAAAGCAAGCCCATGTGAGGACAACATCTCCAAGCGGACAGGCCGCATCTTTGGCCCAGAGCAGGCGCGAGGGGAACAAGGTTTAGGGTTTAGGGTGTAGGGTTTAGGGTTTAGGGTTTA